ATTTTCTCAAGGAGACCCCTCTAAATTTCTCCCATAGCCTTTTTGAGACCCCCTCAGTGCAACCCAACCACTTCCTTGCCCTAATTCCCCTTGCTGGAGTTCAATTTTTGAGCTCAAATCCTTACCAGAGACAGGACAAAACTCTCCACACCTCCACAGTGAACAAAAATTAAATTAAACTAACCCACACATTCACCACAGTGAAAGAAGACAAAACCCCATCAAACCCCCCTCACACAGAGCCTCTACACTAAACTTTGATCAACACCCAAATTTGGCCTTGATCGAATTTGGGTCTAAACCTTTCACCACAATCAGAGACTCAATCCCTAGCCTCCTTGGACCTTCATGAATGTGTCGAGCACCTCTGATTGAAGCTTCCCTTATCAGAGAAAAGGTATTGAACTCCTCCTCTTCCCGAGCCTATTTTCATTCTCCATTTGATTAGAGTTGATTTAATGGTATGTTTACTGTATGGATGTGTTTGTCTCACTTAGATGAGTCCATAGGATCAAACCTGAGGAGATTTGGTTGAGTCTAGAAGGAGATCTTAAGGTTTTAGTGTGAACGGTTCTCAGGTTGGCCTATTTTGGGACGATGACCCACAACCGTTGGATCGCACGTGTATCAAATGGAGGGCTTTGATTGCGTGAGATGGGAGCGTGGTCCATAAAGTGTGGGTTGACTCGGATGGCAGTGTCGAACTAGAATACACCGCATGTAGCTTTGGAGACGCCGAGGATGACGCGAAGCCGCATGTTTAAGTAGAAAAATAGGGATTTAAATAATTCATAAAATGCTTCCTACCTTCAAAAATTCATATCTTGGTGTAGAAAAATAAAAAAAAAATGAAAATATCCTAGTGCTGAGTGAATAGAGGAGAACACTGTGGAAATGGTTTGAGGCTTATTTTATGAATATTTTATTTTTAATTAATTAAATACTGATTTGAATATTTTAACTCTCCATGCATGTAGGCATTTTACCATGGCTTGATATTTTGGCATTTTGTTGCCTCTGTCATGGGGGATATTATCTGATTTTTTCAAAGTCAGAGATGACCTCTAGACAGAGATCCATATTTTTCAATTTGTGTCTATTATTTGCATAAATTAATGATAATAATTAGTATGTTGCTTAGAAAAGTTCAAGAAAATTTTGGAAGGTTTATTGTGACCAGAGAATCTTTTGAAAAAAATTTTAAGAGTTAAGTCATTGAGAACACACTTAATTTGCACAAAACCCTAAAACAAAAAGAAAATTAATTTGGGTAAAATAAACATCTAAATGAATTGATTTTTGATTCTACACTGTGATTTAAAGCTCAGAGAACTCCCCATAAAATTTTCAAAATATTTGTAGCTCATTTGATAACTTAACTTGATTTTTTAAGTTAAATGACATTTTTGACACTAAAATGATTTTTTAATAATTAAAATATAACTCAAAAAATCATATGAATTGGTTTTGGGAGTTCTTTATGATCAGGGGAATTTTTTAAAAATAAAATTGTAAATAAAATAAAAATTTCATTTTTTAAGTCTATTTTGAATATTTAAATTAAAAATTAATAAAAATCACAAAATTAGTAAAATTCATGAAAATGTTCTAAATTGTTTCCTAAGTACTTAGGAACAATTGAAATATTTTTCCTAATTTTCTAAGTGAAGATATTGTATTTTAAAGCTTAAAATAATTTTTTAAAGGCTAAAAAATGGATTTTTCTTAATCTTTCACTTAAAAAATTCTAATAAATCAAAGGAAAATAAAAAAAAATGTAAAATTTGTTCCTCTAGGTTCCTTGACCTCAGAGAAATTTTATAAAAATATAAAACTTAATTTTTCACATTAAAAATATTTTATAATTAATTAATGCTTCATAACTTAAAATAATTTTAATAATTCAAATAGAATTAAAAAAAAATCATGAAATTTTGCAAAAGTGTTTCTCTAGTCTAAGTCTACCTCCAATAAAAATTTCAAGTGATTAGGCTTCGCTTTGGTCAAGTTATAGAATTTTCTTTGAAAAATCTTATTCTTGCATATAAATAAAAATATAAATTAAATTAAAACTTGAAAAATCACATTTTTTCCTATGATGTCTTAATTGACCCATGAGTAAGGTGGGATGAAAATTCTAAAGTCATTTGAATTAAATTTGATGAATTATGAAGTGGTAGAGCCTTAGGGGCAAAAGTATAATTTTGGAAATTTTGCCTTAATTAACACTTAGGCTTAATTCAAGAAAGGGAAATGAGCAATCTTTGATCTTAATTAAGATATTTGGATGATTGAAACATAAAGGATTAATTGGTAGAAATCAATCTCACCTTTTTTTTAATTAAAAGATAAATTTGAAATTTCTTAGATTATTAAAATTTTGGAGTCTACCAAATTGAATGATCCTAGACATAGGGGTACAATTTTGGGTTTTAATAACTCACTAATTTAATACCCCTATATGGTGTTCAAGTGATATTCAAATGTTTTGATGATGAATTATTGTCACCTAAAATTTAATCTCTTTCAAAATGACTAATACATCCATTAAGATCTTAAGGGCTTGGTGGTGACTTAAGCTAAATCAAATTTGGTTAAATTTAAATGAATTTTAGAAAAGTGAATAAAAATTGAAGACCTTTGAAACACTACAAGCCCAAGTTAAAACCAAAATTGGCGAAGTGTTTTAATAACACTAACTTGCTCCTTTAAGGGTCTTCACCTGCATAATTCTCAAATTGAATGATAAATGATAATCACCCTACTCTTAGGGAAAATTGAAACATCACTGTTCATTGAACACTAGAAATATTTATAGGATTGATTATTAGGCAACATAATAAATTTAAATGAGCTCGAGACTTTTCACTAGGGGGTGAGGGGAAAGCATGGACCTGCCTTTTTCTCCTAACTTGTTGGATGCCTCGGAGGTCTACTAAACTTAATTTGTTTTGCTTACTAAAATCATCCTTAATCAAACTAATAAGGATTGACCAAGATATAATCTAGGAACCTTATTTTTCCGGCTTTACATAAAATGCCCTTACATGCATTTTGAGTTTCAGTTGAAGATGACGGGAATACCATCCAGGTATGCTTTTATTGTGATTTATTTACCTGCATTTTTGGTTTCCAAACCTGCATTTATTGTGATTTATTTACCTGCATTTTTGGTTTCCAACACTTTTTTTAATACATTACTGTATTTACTCACCCGAATGTATAACCAAAATACGAGCTTGCATGCTAAGTAACGATGTCACCCTACATGAAAACAAAAACTACTATGATAGCCGCAAAATTAAAGCCAAAACTAAAAGCAACCAAAATAAAATTCACCGCCACAACATTCAAAATATAAGACAACTCAAAATTTAATCAAAAACATCACAAAAACAACAACTACAACTACAACTACAACTAAATTAAGACATCTCTATCAGATGATACGCTATCGGACGATCGGGAATCCCTCGGAGGAGGTAACCTACGGTTGCTGATGAGGCTTCCTACGGTCTAAATGAAAGTATATAACTCATTAATTTGAGTTTAGTAAATTCATTTGAACTAAGAAAATCAAATAAAAAATAGTGGTATCGGAATGAGGAAACCGTAAGATCCTAACCGGTGTCGCTTTAATCAACTTTAACATCCCCCATTATATTTAAAGAACTACAACCATAGGGCCGTCTGATTTGACATCATAACTTGACACACTAGAAAACTTGAAATTGCCACGATAAGGAGCTTGAAGCTAGCAGGATGGGCAGCACAACCATCTTCAACAACAAAACCTGTCTACATCAACTAAACCATTCATTCCTTAGAATTAAACAACAAGCCATAGGATTTCGAGGTTGTTTGCTTATGCAACATAAATCCTCACCTTATCTTTAGGCCTTTGTACAGCTATGCTGTACAATATAAGCCCTAACTCGTCTTAGGATTCTGAGGTTATTGTCCGTTACGACCTAAATCCTCACATATTCCAGGCTATTTGTGTGATCGTTTCACACAAATGTAAGCCCTAAACTAATAAAATTGGCATGATGAAATACTCAAATAAATTTTTCCTCAAAACTGAAGCCAAATAATAAGATAGACTGCGAAGTCACTGAGGTTCTCCTCTGGATCTATGACATCCCTTAATTCTTCCTCCTTTAGATTTTACAATAAAATGTTCCAAATTTGAGCTATTCCCATTTGACATCTGTTTGTCCGATTTCTTTGAAAAGTCTTATGCTTTTGAACTCCTTGAAGATAATACTTTCTGATTTTTATTGAGAGTTTTTTTAGGTGACTTCGGTTTTCTAAGATGTAATTAACTATAGGGGCTTGTCCTTATAGGAAGCTTGTCCGAACCCAGCTTAATATAATCCTATTTAATTCTTCATATTAAATAGGGGAAATTGTCGGCAAATAAAACGGTTTCCCATACCAAACGTATGTCATATGTCATATATTTTTTAGTTTATAGTTTATTTGATTGAGTCTCATCCGCAAGTCTTGTGTTTATCATTCGGGATAGATACAAAGTTTGAGGTATAATGCTATTTCATTTAAACTATGAACATATTGGGTCAGTTTGATTTCATATTTTTTTAAACTACATATACATATCTAAATTTTGCTTCTTTTGACTTATTTTGCTCCATTTTGGTCTATTTTTGCTCTTTTTCATTCTTAAACTCTATTTCTTGCACTTGAACCCAAAAACACATAAACTACATTTTATTAAAGCGCAATATCTTTAAAAATGAGTATAAAATGTACATATAAAAATATATAATTTTAAGTCGTGTCAATTTTCTCGTACTTAAATGTTTTTTGTCATCAAGTAACTCTTTTAGTATATAAATCAAATAATTTGATAAAAAATTGAGAATTATTCGGAAATATTTTTCTTATAATTAAATAAGTAAAAAATTTGATATAATTTTGATCATAATGCTTAAAAAAAGTGATCCAAATTTGGGGATGATCAAGTCAACAACCAACAGGCCTCCTCGCAGCTTGCCCTTGGCGCTATTCCCACGCCGGCACGCGACCTCTGTCTCTTGGCTCCCTGCGCGCTTTCGTTACACCCTCCGTGTTTTCTCCTGCCTGCGCCATTTTTGTCGCGGCTTTTTTCCGACCTCCCGCTATTTCTCGATTCTTCTCTTCTCTTTACGGGCTGCATCTCCGCCTTCCTCTCTCTCGATCTCCCGAACTTGCGTCCCTCTCAGTTTCCCGTGAAAATTTTTACCCAGCTCCTCTCTTCTTCTTATATCAATCCCCTGCTTACTAACATTTTACCCTAACTTCCAACATTTGCAATTACGTAGGAAATCTAGATCCCTTAATTTGTAGCCCCTCTCTTCATAGAATCTCTTAAACTCCCTTTTTTATCCGTCGTATCCAAGTTTGTCGATTACCCATCTATGGTAGTGTCGGCGCTCTGGCTTGCAAACAGACTTCGAAGGCTTAAATGATCCGTCCCTACGAATCAAATTCTCTCCGAGATGTTTGAGGCGCACGTAAGATTCTTGGGCCGATTCTCCGTGATACTTGATATACTTGCATGCAGCAGTGGGAAACAGTATTGGAGACTGTCATCGAAATATATGTTTTTCTTAACGTCGGCAGTATTGTTTGATGGATTTTCGAAATGCTCACTGTATGGAGACGTTTTATGCTACTCTAGTTATGGTCTGAAAATTCACGATATAAGTTCTATTTGAAGTAGTTCCTGAAATGTGAAGGAGTTGGTAATCATGATTTTCTTGAAGATTATAGCTGACATAGCTTAAATGGATGTAAAGCTGACAGTTTCTCTTTATCATTCTGGTTTTACGGCTTTTATTTCGTTGGGTCTATTTTAAAATGTTCCCGAGGCCTGCAATTTGTGAACACTTTCTGAATGATTACAATGCACAAATAGACGTTAAGGATGCCCCTGTTGGGGTTTGGGGATGTTGCGGTATTATGGAGCTAATCATTTTGAAATGGCATCTGCATTTATTTGCTTTTTATAGCAAGCGCTACCTGTAGGAAAGAAGGACCTTAGAATATGCTTTGTCTCTAGTTATAGCTTACTTAATTGGTGAGTTATGTTTTTTTTTTTTTTTTGGTTTTTAGATAAGGATTTGAAGCGTCTCAGCATTGATCTGTTTTGGGCTCATTTTTATTTTTTGGCGTCTCTATGTGCATGCTACTTCTATCTGTCTGAGTTTTCTTGCTGCTTGTTTTAGTCTTATGCACACCTTAGTGATTTGTTTGAGCTTTTCTTTTGTCGTGTGTTTTTGGTATAAAAATGGTATTTCTATGGCAGTTATAGATTATTTCTGCAATCCCTTTTTGATTTTTAATTGCTTAGTATTCTTTGTGTACTGCCTTTTAACTTCGCTTCTTTGTTTTTGTATTCTCTGAACGTTTTGTAGCCAATAGCTTGTTGCATATTGGTACATGAATTCGGGTTTAGCCTTTTCTTTGAAGCGAGGACTAAAATTCTTGATAAAACATACTAATTGAGTCAGCTTACAAGCCTACTTTACAAATAGATTATGTTACACAATTTCATGTTGGAAAATGCGTTATGCATGATTTTATGAGTAGGAAACACTAATTGATATCTGAATGAAACATAGATAAAAAATTTATATGCCCTTTTGCTAAACTTCAGTTGGGTTGTTAAAATTATTGAATTGTCTTTTTTTATGGTGCTTGCATATGAACAATTAATTATTTAACTAAAGCTGCCTCAAGTAATGGTTTTGATCTTTCTTTTGATGCTTAAAACATTTTTTTTTTTCTATTCTTATTGAATCAAGTAGAGAATTAATTTTGGTATTGTCTAAGCAGTTTGTCTCATGCAGAACACATGTTGGGAAAGAAATCTGGATATAGTGGAAGGGTTTTACATTGGGTTGCTATTCTTTGAGAGGAGGGGAAGGGGTTCATCATGTAAATCTGAGCAGAAAGGAGTGTGGACTGGAGGAGTTGGTTATGGGAGAAGGAAAACGGGACAATACATGAACATGAATTTCCTGAACTCTTGGATGCACACTGATTTGCATGGTGTAGTCTGGGAGTCCATCCACATGCATGCATGCCTTTGAAAATCAGTCATGAATAAAGTTTCTCCAAATAACTTAAATATGGTCCTTACACTTGTAGCTTGACACCTAATGAATAAAGTGCCCTTGGAGGTATTTTTGCATAAAATGGAAAAAAAAAGATATGCAATTAAATGCAAAAATAAGCAGATATTTAACTATTTGATTGGTGCTTAAGGTTCTTCCAGTCAATCTTGAAATTGGGCCGGGCATAGATGGCAACTACTTAGAACCACTACGGATTTAATCTGATGGCTTTCATCACATTAAGCTTATGTGGTTATCATGTTTGTAAGATCTAGAACTATTATTCTATCACAAGTGTCACACTAGCCATTTGGCCCATGTTGGGTTGACTTGTTTAACTGCAGTTTCTTTAAATCTCCCTTTTGTTAGCTTCTAAATCCACCACAATTCCACTACTATATGCATGCAAAATTGTCAAAAGTTACATTGGTGCATATGTAATCTTTTGGCCTACTCTTCTGCTTTAGCCCACATTTTTATTGCTATAAAACAGATTAATGACACACTTCAACTTCAGTTATGTTTGAATTGATGTTTTCATTTAAGTTGATGGTATTTTTAATCACCATGCATGTAAAATGGAGTTTTTTCAATCTTATATTTTTCTTCCGCTGTACTTAAATTCTAACTATGTTGACCTGCTAAGGAAATTGCTTTTTCCCCTATTATCTTACAAGAAGAAAGCTTTACAAACTGTGGATTTCCTTATCAGACAAATAAATATATTTTCTGGACCATTCAAATGTATAAGGTGTCTTTCAGCATTTCTGTTCATGGCTCATTATATTGTTGCTTGGTAGATGACCAATTCATTTTTATTAACTGTTAATTGAAGTTCTGTGCAGCTTTTGTCAGTTTCTCATGTTTATTGTTTAGTTTGTAATTTTTTTCAGGTTCTTTATCTGCTTCGGAAATACTTGGGTGAATATGTTGAGGGGCTTTCTGTTGAAGCTCTTAAAATCAGTGTTTGGAAAGGTTTTTTTTTTCTTAATTTCATATATATTTTTTCATTACTTTCTCTACTAATATTTAATGTTCAATGCATAATATTAGCATGAGTGATTTCTAGTGGCTTCATCAATGTCGATACATGACCCATGTTTTCTATTTTCTAGTTAATTTTGATGCATTTTGCTATGTTGTTATTTAATCATAGTTTATTTTAGGGCTCATTTGATTGCTTTTATGTTGAAATCAAGTTCTACACAATGATAAAACTTTGGTAGCTTTCATCATTTAATTTGTTGTAATTTGTTATCAATATGTATTTTAAACATCAGCCATCATAAGGAGTTTTTTTTTTCTTACTCAAAACAATAGAGCAAAAAAATGATGAGGTTGTAGGAGCTAACCACTTTCGTATGCACTGATGGTCATTGGAGGCTGTCAAAGGGCTCCAATAATCTTTGGCCATACTTGGTGAGCTCTGGCGATCTACAGTAGTCTCCATTCAGGCACATATGAACTCTGCTTGTTTACGTTAAATTTTGATAGGTTTCCAATGAGTTCTGAAAAAGTACAGTTATGCTGTTGCCGACTTGTTGTACGGCGGCCCGGGCTCTGACAAGTTTGATTAGTCTCTGCCAAGTTCTGATAGGGCTTAAGCAAGCTTCATTTTCAAAGGACGGAAGACATTAGTAACATGGAATTTAGATTAAATCCATCTGAATAATCAGTTTGATATAAATCAATAATTCACATCAGACCAAACTAAGAATTTTATTTTCAAATTCTCATGACACTATGTTTTCCGAACATCAGCCTCGTTAAAAAAAAGGGAGGCAGAACCTCTTAGTGATTCATTCATATGCTGATGTTTCTATTGTAAGAATCCCTTAAGGTTTAATGATAGAAATTTGGTTTTTTGGTGGTGAAATCCTTTTGAGTACTTCAACCTTTAGAACTTGAATAGAAATAAAAAGGAGAAAGAAAAAACAAAGTAAAAAAATAATAAAACAATAAATTGATTCGAGAGGCTCACCATCTTTATACATCGGATTTCTTCCGCTAGCAAAATCAAACATATATATGATGCCATGGCATTTCTTTCTACTTCGTATCGTTCTCTTGTTTTCTCTGAGAATCATATTTTGACTTAATTGTCTTAGAAACTATGCTTGAACTGCTTGCGATAATTTTGAGAAAGCTTTCTAGTAACTTTTTTACCTGTTATTGTATTCTGGAGCCCTAGGCTATATAATTACTTACATGATCACTTTAACCCTATGCTCAGCTATGTTATGCCTTTACTACTAGCATGGCAGTCACCATGTGGCACCAAGATTGCATTAATATAGCTTGAATTATTTATTTGGAAAATGGAATTCATTTTAATGCGATACTTGTTTCATGATTATATTAATATTATCAGTTCCTTAATTGTTAATGTTTAAGCATCAAACATTCATTATTCAGAAAATAATAGAGGAATAATAACTTGAATTCTTCCCTTGTATGAGCTTCATTTCATGTGACTCATTTCACTAATATTCTTTCAAATTATTAAACTTTTAAAAGTTCAATTTTTATCCAAGTGGAGGATATTTTGTGGTAAGATAGTTATTAGAGCATCCTTAATGTAGTTTGCGCACCATGTGGGATGATGTAGACATACTATTATGTACATATTGATGCGATTGGACTGAGTTTCTTTGCAAATAAATATCAGTAAGTTGTTTTAAATACATGAAATTGAATGATGCATGAATAAAGTCTTCCGCTAACCAAAAATCTTTTTTCATATTATGTCTGACATATTGACAAGACGTGGGTATAACATCCTTTCATATACTTAAATAGGAAAGATTTTTTTTGTGTAATAATCAGAAAATTGTTATTTGTACCTGAACATTATTTTTTAGTGTTAGCACATGGGCTCTTGTACACATATCTTATCACTGCTATTGTTTGAGTTGATGGCTGAAAACTTATCGCATAGTAAGTCGGTCAATCATGTAAATATACGTGTCAAGTAATATGCGGTCTAAGAGTCAACGTATCGATTCCGCGAACATAAAGCCAAAATATTTCTAACAGGCAAAGTTTTAGTTTATTGAACCGCAAATTTAGTTTGAAGTGATGAAATTCAAGAAATGAATTTAACAGTCCTAAAAATGCAGTAAACAAAAATGACAGGAAAAAGTGTTCAGTTTTTCAGATATGCAAGATTCAAATTCCTGTGACACAAGTTAAGTGATTTCTTAAAGTTTTCTTTTGTAACCCATGCTATTTTTGACAACTAGGGATATAAACTTTGTCGCCTATGCCTATGTCAGAAGAAAAATCAGAATCCCGTAAAGTTAGATTTCAATTAACTTTATGGCATTTTCCGGGATTCTTTAGATCCCCCATATAGGTTGTAAAATCCTAACAAAATATGTCTATTTTATCAGTTTTTTTGGTTAACCTACTCGTTCCACTACACAACTGGCAGAAGTCATAGTTCATGAGAGATTTTTAACATTCTTATCGTGTCCGATAAAAAGTAAATTACAATCGGAAGGTTAATACATAAGCATAAGAAGTTTATGCATCAAAAAGGCATCGAGGGAAATAGAATATCCATAGAATGAAAACCATAAGAAAACCACAAACCTTACATCACAGGAGTATGAAAGCGATGATACTTACAATTCATGAATAGGAAAACACCAATACTTGTTATTGCGGGAATAAAAAGAAGAACTACATATGAGGTATAAATAACTCTCACCAAGCCAATTGGTCCTTGCAATATACAGTGATTCTCTCCGTTCTATACAAATTACTTAACGATCTCATTTCATATAAATGCACTCAACCTCTCCTTTCAATACTCATCAAAACCTCAACAAATCATATGAAAATAAAAAAAGAAAGAAAAACTATCCTAGAAGTTCTCTCCTTTAAGGAAGAAGAAGAGAACTCTAGGGTTTATATTCCTCTATAGATCCCCCACAAGTCTTGCAATATTATCCCCTCCCACAAGATGCCCTAAAACTCGTTTTTATAGCCCTGGTCTTGGATTAACAAGAAATTTTTTTACAAAAATGTTTTCCGCTTCGTTGTGTGGCCACGCTCGACGTGGTCCTGCCATAGACGTCGATTTGGCGGCGTGGTCATGCTCAATCTGGGCATACTCATGCCGCTGCTTTCAATACAATGATGTGGTTATGCCCAATCCAGCCGTGGTTGCGCCAGTTCTTGCAGTCCCAATCTTGGTTGTCCTCGTTCCAAAATACAAGCTCGATCTCCTGTAACCTATACATCACTAACAAAAACCTTCCACAAACGTCAATCCATGATAACTAAGGTAGAACAACAGATATGCGGTAAAAATTGTGTATAATTGACTCATATCAGTTATGTTCTCTATTAATAATTCCGTAAGAATGGCTATTGAATTGTTCTTACATTATTCTTTTATGCTATATTTTTGCATACGAATTTTCTTGTTCAAGATGGTGAATGTCATTATTTTAATTTTGTTTTAAATCTCTCACCTCATGAAATTTTTCCCCATAGGAGATGTTGTTTTGAAAGATTTGAGATTGAAGGCTGAGGCACTGAATTCTTTGAAGCTTCCTGTTACTGTCAAAGCTGGCTTTATAGGCACGATAACATTACAGGTAGTTTTTTAAACTTTTGCTGTTGTTTAAACACTTTTTTCCGAATAGGAAGAGTTTATATGAATTTGTTTGTAGAATGTGTAATATTTTAATTCTTCTTTACGTACAGCTGTTTTGATTTTCAGGTTTTTGTTTTTGCTTTCTTTTTTCTTGTTGAATATTTGGTTTTGTTATAAAGTTTGGGGTTACTTTCTTTGGCATTTATTAATTCTGAAAGTCTGAAAGATGAACATTACCCTGGAGCCTTGTGCTTAAGTTGTTTGAGTCATTGGTGCGGACCCATTTATCTGAGGTGGACATCCACCATAAACATCTTGCAATCTTCTTGTTTGCAATGTGTTGTTCCTTTTATCGTGCATGTTTTTGAGATCAAAGTTGGGTCTGATATAAATGGTCAAATCTATTGCCAGCACAAACCTATCTGTGAGGGCCAGACATTTAATAGTATGGAATAAACCATACCTTTTACATGCCGTGACATATTTTTATTTTTTGTGAGTGCTTTCCACATCATCTGTCACTCCAGCTTGAATGAGTACTAATAACCCACTCAACCACTCAAAGCCACCATAAATTTACCTGCTTTTGTACATTGTTAGGTCATATTAGAGGCCATCAAGAATTATGGAACCTACAAATTAAATGAACCACTTCTTCCCGATTGAAACATCGGTTGTGCTACCTACTAGAATGGTTGTACTATTTAAACTTAAGGGGAGTCGAATTGGGGCCAATAAACTAATGCTTAAATCGATTTTAAATTTAAAATGTGTGAAGGCCATCCGATTATTTTTCATACACTAATACATCTATAACTATTTTATGTGGGATGAAGCCTAATACTGCATATGTTTTGTGTGTAATAATGCTGAGATAATTTCACCTTGTGTTGTAATCGTTTTCAACATAGCCTTTTTTTTTTAGCTAATTTGAGTTGTATTTGCTAAAAGGGTTGGTTCGAGATGGAGTTGTATTTAAGAACAAATGAGTTGTTCTTTTAATTTTTATGTTTGTGGAAGTAGTCATCTTCAACTTTATCCCAAACATTTATGATCAACTTTATGAATTCTTATTACGGTATTCATTTATTTTAAATGCTTGTTTCTGGAGTGTTCTACTGGTGAGCATGGCTAAATCAACTACTGAGTTTCATGAACGGGCAAGAGAGCACCAAAAAGAGGGATAATATGACCAACATTAGGTTAAGCCACATGAGGATTTAAAGACATTAAGGCCTCGTATGGGTAGAGAAAACTATACGAGGAAATAAATAACCTTTATTTTCTAGACTGCCTTTGTGTTCGACCCCATTTAATAAAATGATACCCTTTATCTAGGAATACCAAATTAATTTCTTCATTAGTAAAATGTAGGAGGCGATTAAAGAAGAGGTTAAGATGGAGGGCAAGTAAGAGATTAATTTATTTTCTTGGATATTTCCTATTTTCATGAAAGTGTTATGTTAGATTTTAATTTCTTTTGATTTTGTTGGGGCCTATAAATTGACTCATTATTGTTTTCTTTTTTCATTCGCATTTTAATGACAATTTAGAAGGAAATCAAATACTTTTAAGTTCTTTCTCTCCCTCCAATAGAGGTTGATGTCTCTCTCTAGAAATTCAGCTGTCAGCCCTTTTGCTCTGTCCTATTTCTCTTCCTGTAAATTCTCCTCTTTTCTTCCCTCTACCAGAATATCAAGTAGGGAGAAGAACTATATCCAATCAAAATCAGAAGGATGGAAAAACTGGAGGGTTCCTCAAGGGAATATGGTGGTGAATGTTAATTTCATTTATTTTCTATTCTTATTTTTGATATTAGACCAAGTTTTGTTTTATAAATATCATCTTGAAACTAACCTTTGGTTCAGTTCTAGTGTGATTATCTTTTATTCTTGGGATAGTTTTCTCTTTGTAGCCTTTGTACTCAAGTTCTGATTTTACCACCTAATATATACTTATGTAATCAAGACCATACTATAATGTTATACTTAGATTTTTTTTATGATTAATTTATCTTAGATCACTAAGTATTTTTCTTTTTATGTTTTTCTTGGAAATCAGAAAATGTTGCTTTGCTTATTCAAAATTTGTAGCTTACTTTCAATTTTGCATTTTACAAGGTTTCACTGATAAGTTCACCTTTTCGTTGAATTGATATTTTTCTTGATTGTTTTACTAATGTGCTATTTCAGACAGAATTTAATTCTAGTTAGGTATTTCAATTCTTATTGCATGAGTGCTTGTACTCAAGATGCACAATTTCTTCACAAATCCTTATATACCTGGAAAAATTTTTCTGCAATGTTCTAATTCTGCATTTCTTATATACAGGTTCCCTGGAAAAGCCTAGGCAAAGAACCTGTTGTTGTTCTGATTGACCGTATATTTGTGCTTGCTGAGCCGGCTCCTGATGGACACACTCTTAAGGAACGATTTATTATTCATTTTATCTGCTATTTAGAAACCTCAAGCATACTAGCACTGAAATTACATGAATTGTTTCAACAAGGATGAGCTACTCATTATTATTAAATGTTGTGGATGGTTGATTTTCCAAAGGATAAATAATTATTTCAACACTTTCTTTTTTTTTTGTGCAGGAACAAGATAAAGAAAAGCTTTTTGAAAGTAAGCTCCAGCAAATTGAGGTATGTATCTTTATGTATAGAAAAGAAATTTGCTTGGTTTGTACATACAATGAAACGCAGAGGATTTACCTATAAACTGTTAGATATAATAAATCTGAACTTATGTTGAAGCTTTGATAGAACACTAGTGTACATTAGAGTGAATATCTCCCGCAACACTTTAACGTAATTGAATAGAGAAGTATTCTTGAAGCTAGCCAAATACCAGAGTTTTTGGGAGGGAAAACTAATTATTCCTCTTCAATTTAATAGAGAAACAATTAGAAGATAAATATATGGGGATGACTCCTACATTTGGAAAATAATAAACTCACTCATAACCTCCCATGATAATAGAGAAAACTTGAATTATGACATACCAATAATTCTAAATTTTATAAATAGAAAAATACTAATAATAGAATAAACTAAAACTAAAAACAGCTTAAAAATCCAACACCCCCTCTCAAGTTAGAGCATGGTTATCTATCATGACCAACTTTCTTACAAGGAGCTCAAAATTAGCCCTGCACAGTCTTTTGGTGAAGAAATTTACTATTTGTTGAGTAGTAGGGATAATGACATTTAAATTGCTCCACAATCAATTTTTTTTTTATGAAGTTTTTATCATTCTTTACATGTTTTGTGCGATTATGTTGCATTGAATTTTCTGGAATGTTTATGTTAGCTTTATTGTCACAGTACAACTTTATAGGCCATTTGGTTTCTTACTTTTTCATGTAACCAGATTTCCTTAGACATAAGTACAACATCTTGACATCGATCTCCTGCTAATAATTGAGCTTACCCAATCTACATTGGTGTATGCCTCTATGTTCTGTTGTGCGGTCTTCTAAAATAGTAAACCCTTACCTCGTGTACTTTTTAGGTATTTGAGAACCTTGTTAATTGTTTCAAGGTCTTTCTCAGAAGAAATGCATAAATTAACTTACCGAACTTACAGTAAATGTGATATCTAGTTGTGTATGTTATAAGTATATCAGCATTCCACCAACTTTTGATATTGAAATGTATTCGCTCGGCACCTTCCTTATCGTCTCCCAGTTTTAGATTGGAATCAATTGGAGTGTTTGCAACCTTTCATCCCAATGTCCTTTAGAAGATCAAGAACATACTTTCGTTGGGAAACAATAACCCCTTTCTTTGTTCTAGCAACTTTCATGCCAAGGAAGTACCTCAAAGATATAAATCCTTGGTTTCAAATATTTATGAGAATTATATCGTCTACATACACAATTAGTATTGGTATTTTCCCATCCTTTTAAGTGTCTGAAGAACTTTGTATGGTCTCCTTGCCTTTGAGTATACTGCTGACCTTTATCAAACATTGTAAATTTTTTAAACTACTCTCAGCAACTTCTTTGACCTATATAATGATTTTTTTAGTTTTCACATTTTTGTGTCAAACTTCTCACTAAATCCTGAAGGTGCATCTATGTATACTTCTTCCACTAAATCCCTATTTTGAAAATGCATTTTTTAGGGCTAGTTAAGATTAGTTGCAAGTGACAGAAACACTCTTATAGAGTTTAGTTTTGCGATTTGGTGATGTCTCTAAGTAATCAAGGTCATAGGTCTAAGTAAATCTCTTTGACAACCAATCAAGCTTTGTATCATTCTATAGAGTCATCAGAATTATATTGACTGTAAACACTCATTTACATCCGACAGTTTTCTTTCCGCAAGATAGATCAACTAATTCCTTTGTGCCATTTTTTTCTAAAGCATTCATCTTCTCGTAGACAACCTTCTTCCACTGAGGAATTTTTAGAGCAACCCGCACAATATTGAGGATCTCCATACAAGACAATTGTATGGTGGAAGCCCAAAAAATTGCTGAAAGATTTTCATATGACACGTAGTGAGACAATTGAAATTGCGTGCTAGATCTCACCCCGTTACAAGAGCAATGGAATGACTGGAATCAATAGATTTTCGATTCGTGTTTAACTGTGGTTCAGGACAAGAATACTCAAAAGTCGAAGATGAAGTTGATTGATGATGGGGTAAAGGCTCAGTGAAGACATTACTCGGAGAATTCATGAATTTTTGGCAATGCAAAAGATTCTTGGACTCTTTCTTTTGAGTTGCTATTTATCAGAAGCAGACAATGTCAAATGGTGCTAATGTCCTAGTTTTTGTTTTTCTGTTTCCTCTTTGTTAGCTGTATAGGATTATGAACATCATGAGTTGATACTGTAAGAATTTCTGATCGTCTTCAATATCTAAAGACTCGATTCACTTTTTTCTAATATAATATTGCTTGAATTTTCAGGTTGAACAATCAATGTTGGTAATATATTATTTTGTGAGTCTTTAGTTTGAAAAAGTACTAAAAATAGTAGTTGAATATTTATTTTGCTTACCCCTTTTGAAGATGAGGTGAAAAAAGAGGGTTATAATTTAAAAACGATGACATCCATAGAAACAAATATTTTTTTAGAACTATGATCAAAATATTTATATTCCTTTTGGGTGGGAGCATGACCAACAAACACATTCTATAGCTCTGGGTTTAAATTTTTTTTATTATGACTATGATTGTGAATAAATGCAGTGCATCTAATTATTTTTAAAGGTAAAGAAGATAAAAGTCGATTTGTTGGGTAAAGTTTATGAAAAACATCAAAATGTGTTTCAAAGTTTAAAACTTTATTGGGTGTTATATTAATGGGAATGCAGCAGTAAGAATGACTTCGACTCAAAGATATTTTGATACCTTCTTTATAAATAGAAGTGTTCGAGCTACTTCCAAAAAACATTTGTTTTTTCCAGCCCATTATTTAGTTGTGAGGGGTTTACACAATAACTTTGATGAACTATTTTTTTCGGAAAAAGATTGACCCAAAATATTTTTGAAATACTTTTAGCCATTATCACTTCATAATATTTGAATAATTTTTTAAAATTATATTTGTATCATGGTTTAAAATTTTGGAAATTTATTTTCATTTCATATTCCTCTTTCATTAAATATACAAATTTAATTTTGCATGATTATCGATTAACATAACAAACCTTCATTTTTTTGAGTATGCAAGATGTATACAAGGACCCAAAATGTCACTATGAATTAGAATAAAATGTATAGTTGGTTTGTAAATTTGGGGAGGAAAAAACATACGATAATGTTTGACATACTGACATACTTCACATTGGAAAGATGACAAATTTTTATTATAAATAAACATGAAAATAAGAATTTTAAATACTAAAAACTATGATGAGCAAACCTATAATGCCATAGTATGATATTATTATCTTTGAAAATAAAACCAGAATTTAAATAGGTACCTTGACATTGTTTATTTGCATCAATTTCATCATTAAAATAATATAGTCCATCATTTTCCTTAGTACTGCCAATCATCCTCATACTGGTTAGTTCATGAAACTCACAATAAGTGTAAATTAATTTGACACATATTCACAAGGAACATGGAGCATTATCACAAAGGGTTAGCAATGATGTGTGTTTGACGATTCCTATTCTGATATTTACCGAGATGGTACCATCGACAAAGACAAATTGGGAACATGAAGACCATCATGAAGGGTTAATAATGATGTGAGTTTGATAGTTTCTATCCAGACAATTATCAAGATGGAATCATTAATAATTTTGACCTTTTTATTACCTACTTAAGGTCTATAAGATTAGTTGCTCCAGAATCAATTATCCAAGAATGAATAAAATTAGATTTAATACCTAACAATGCATTGGCTAGAGAGTTATCCTTTTGCACTGAAGAGACGGAGTTAGTAACAGTTTTGCAAATTGAAATAACTAATTGTTCTTTGGTGAAAGGTATTGCATCCGAGTTAGTAGAAGGCTCTTGAGGTTCATCAATAGTGGCTATATAGACCTGATCTTCATGTTTAGATTTGGGGTTCCAATTTGTTGGTTTATCTTGAAGCTTTCAACATGTCTTGTTCTTGGTTTTTTGCAATACTCGCACCACCACGAATAGGGGCCGTAGGGTGAATTGGTTTTGGAATTACTAGAACGAGTAGAAACGGTAGAATTTATTTAGACGTTGGTCATCGCCGACTCGTGTGATATCATCGAAGTAGAGAAGAGAACGTGTTTAGTTGCGAGTTATTTTGGCGCTTAAAGCTGCACAGAGAAGTTGACAGTTACAACTCTAATGGAGAAGAAGCCAAAGAGTTTGAATCGAATTGATTATTTGATGGGGATACTTCCGATTCAATTCAAATTTTTTGTTCACAGTGCTTGAGAACGAAACACTCTTTGTGAAAACTAGAGGAACGAAAATAAGAAGCCCTCTTTACCTCAAATTACAAATTCAAATGATGCCAAAGACTGAGAAGAAACCAATAGAGAAGAAGTACACCACTGAGAAACCCGCCATTGAATAACAAAAAATGACGGAAGAGAGAAAAAGAAAGCAGAGGTGTCAGAGAAAGCCACTGCCAGAAAGGAGCTTGCCGTCGAGAGCTCGAACTACTCAGCTTCGATGCCAGAAGACTAGAAATGCCACGTAACATTGGGCCTCTGAACGTTCGCATCCTTCCGTTGCCTTCCTTGCTGCTCTAATCGTGATTGTATCACTAGGGGTCTATAGCGATCCAATCGTTTTTCCCACAATCCAGTAGTTGGCTTCGCAAAGAGGTCTAATTACAACTGTATTACGAGGGTTCTTCTGTAATCCAGTCATTGTCTTTCCAACGAGCTAATCTCAATTATATTGCAACCCTGGAGGGGCACAAAATCTGTGGAGGATCTCTCGACAGGATTAGATCGCTGTTTCAAAGGTGAAGGTCTTTGATACCATGTAGTTTTTTGGGAGGGGAAACATAATTCTTCCTCTCAAATTTCATAGAAAATGATTATCAAGTAAATAGAGGATGACTCTCACATTAAAAAAATAAGAAGTTCAACCATAACGCATGATAAAGGAAGGAAATATGAATTATGACATACAAATAATTCAAACTTCTAGAAATAAAAATTTACTAATAAAAAATATACTAAAATAAAAAATATACTAAAAGTCCAACAATTATCATTAGACTTAAGCATAGTTAACATTGTTGATTGGAAGTGTCTGCATATGACGATTAAGATGTTTCTTTTTCATTTTTGTTTGTTTTCGTTGTTAGTGAGGTCTACGTGGGAGTGATTTATTTATTTTTTTAAGGTAGTACTGATTGAAAAATCATCTTGACTTGTCAAGAGCTCTTGTGCGCACTTCTATAATTGGCAAGGGATATTACTTTACCTGATGTTACTAAAGTCTGGCCGGGCACAACTCATAATGGTTATTGACAACAAAACGTCATGGAACACAAACCCACTTATTGTACCCATTGTAAGATGTTTAGTCATATCATTGCTAAATGCCACAAATTTCATCTTAGTTTGAAAACTAAGGTTCAAGTGGATAAGGATGGGTCTAACCCCACAACTGCGGACATTTTAGTTCCACCTGAGGAGGATACTACCAGATAGGAGGAGCTGTTGCACCTGAGGACCCCCCATGACACTGTTGTTACAGTTATTGCGAGTGATGCGATGCTGACACCTACAAACTCCATACATAATAATACTGATGGACTATTACCTATAAATGATATTGTTCAGACTGATAATCAGGAGAGCCTCGCAGCTTCACTTCTTCGAGAAGTATTCGATGTAGCGGCAACTCATACTTTACATATTGTAGAACCTATTATGGGTATTACTATTGGTAATTCTTCTGCTTCAGCTCTACCCATCAGGCGGATTCTTCGGAGGAGGAATGACATGTTTACACTTTCAGGAGGAAGCAGGAGGAAGAAGAAGAATGAAGAAGAATGAAGATCTACTAGAGCTCAGGAGTCTTATGGATGACACTTTGGTTACTAGGGGTAATGGTCAGCACCTTACTAAGCTGCTAGCTGGATCTCTACCGAGAACTAGAGCCAGAGGCATGACTAGATTGGGATAACCCACTCTTTCTCAGCGTTTTTTCAGCACCCGGATGGTCTTTAGGTTTCTTTTTATTTCTATATGTATCCATATTTTACATTTTTTGGTGTGTTGTACCGTGTGGGTTGGGTGTTTAGGTCCACCCATACAAACCTATCTGTATCTTTATCTTTAATATATCAGCCCTTCGGCTTTTTCAATATATATATATACATACATACATGCTAGGGTAATTTATGTGAACTTCTTGTGTAGTAATTCGAGAGATGTGTCAATTTTGGATAATTTTAATGTTTTGAATGAAGTGGTCCGTTTTGCAATAAGTGTGATTGAGTGCTTGAGTGCAAGCAAAAGACATTTTGAAACTGTTACGAGCAACAATCAATACCATGTCTACCATTTTGGTTGGGTTTGATTGGATTCCATTGTGGATTATATACGGAGGTCAACAATATGTTAGTGAAATTGGGGTTCTAAACTTATAAAAGCTAAGGATATGACGTAAGAGCAATCTATTGCAAAAATCTGTTGGGTTTTTTCATTTAACTAACTAGGAAGTTTATCTGAGACTCAAATTGCCCGAAGCATCTTTCTTGAATTTGTCTAAATTGATCGATGCAATTGATGGATGGAAATAAAATAGCCAAATTTACTCTATTTGGGAAAATCATGGACTAAATTGTATTTTATACCATTTGTATTCCTTTGCCCTTCATTTGAAATCTAAATCAGCTAGCATGAACCACTTTTAAATAAGCATAAACATGTGTTATTTGGTTAGCAAGGTAATCGGTAAAGAGACCATATAACTTCTATTATTAATTTTGACATGAAGCCACATGGAGCGGACCTTTATGTTTGGATGTTAAAGCTATCCTTTTAAATATTTTTTATAGTTATGATTCATATTTAAATGTTTTTTTTAATTGAGCATTCTTTTCAAGATTTCAAATTATTATATCATTGAAATTTTTGTTTTGCTAAAATTCATTTTATTGTGGTTGTGCTAACTTGCACAAAATTCTTGAACTTAGTAGTGGTGAATATTCTAATATCACACTAATGATAATGGCAAGAGTGTGAAACCCTTATAATGAAGCTAAACTCTTAAACATTGAAGCGCCTTTTGTTATAACAATTGGAATTTCATTAGAAACTTCAAAGTTAAGCGTGCTCACATGGGAACGGGGCAAAATCGTGTGGCCACTAGGCCAAAGTAGACAATATCTCAACGGATGAGAGTTTGAGTTGTTACAAATAGTATCAAAGCATTACACTAGTTTGAAGATATAAATATCTGCATGGTAGATGATACTGGGTTATGAAAATGGATGATGACATCAATTATTTAAGTGGGGGCGATTGTGAAACTCTTATAATGAAGCTAGAATCTTAAACATCGAGGTGCTTTTTGGTATAATGGTGGGAGTTTTTTTAGAAACTTCAAAGTTAAGTGTGTTTGCATGGGAACTCTTAGGATGAAGTGACCTCCTGGGAAGCTGTGAGGCCATTAGGCCAAAGTGGACAATATCTCAATAGGTGAGAGTTTGGGCCGTTACAAAGAGAAAGGTCAAAATGGTCGCCGGACGATTTATGTGGAGCTATTTTTGTTTTAAACAATCTAATTTGCCTAATGTAGTTCCTTGATTCCTTCAATTTGATCTAAAATAAGTCCACAGTTTTTCAAAATTATTAAAAAATGAGCTGATAAAGAGATTATTTTGGATTATATTTGAAGAGCTTAGAGATTAAATTAAACAAATTAGATAATTGTGATTAAAATATCCCATGCAAATAGTTAAGGGACTATTTTGATATTTTCTTTGTTAATGTCATTGAGTATTAATCATATTTTGTGAGCACGTATAACTTTCTGTTCATTTTCTTCCTTGGTGACTCTTGTAAATTTTGTTTTTCTTTTATAACCTTATAGGATGATTTTGGTTCAGCAATGCTTAGTGTTTGCATTGTGCATGCAGTTGAACATTTTAGATGATTTTATAACTCACAGTTTTTGTTTTTATGCAGGAAGCTGAATCAGCAACCATTGAAGCCGCAATTAGGAGAGAGAATGCAGGAGCTGTATGGTCTTTGCCTTATTCAACTTTAGTCCTATTTGAGCTATTTTATCTTCCTGTAATATAATATTTAACTGACATTAATAACTATTCTTTTGTTGTTTTAATTTTTTTTGCTAAAAAATTCATTTTTATGTTTACAATTCTCTTTAATGTTGTTATTATTGAAGCTTTCTTTCTATTTTTTAACCATGGTATCACACTCGGGGCTTGTTAGAAGCGTTTGCAATTTTTTGTATATGTCATCATAAAGCTGTTGTGGGAAAATCAACCTTTTAGGGAGCTATGGAAATTATAAATTTTTCCCCTTAAAAGTTAAACTCCTACTGTTTTATTGTTAAAATATTTCAACATAGCTTGTTTGCAAAAGTTAGGTTTCCACCACAAAAATTTCAAGAAAACAGCAAGAAAGTAGTTACCCAAATAGAGCTGTAGTGATAGTTTGAGATGCAACACAAATAAAAACTACCCCCAAACTGGCCCTAAGTTTTGTGTTTCAGCTGTTTGACTTAGTTTGGTTACATAAATGAGCACACTAGCTTCTTGAAAGATCTAAAGAGATAGAGGCAGCCAATTTGGAAGGGTGTTTGCTGCATGCTTGGGAATACATAGAATATGTAAAAAAGTGTGATGGAGGATGGGAGAGCATCATGGTGGTCAAGAGAATGACAGTGTGGCATTCATTCTATGGTGCAGGGCAGGGAATGAGTGGGGAGGATGAAACCTTTGATTTAGATCACTCAAACATGTTAGGGTGGTACATTGCATGATTTTATTTCTTTTTTGGTGTCGGCGTCGGCCTCGGCGGGCTGCTCTTTAAGTTCCATTTTGGGATGCCCATAAAGAAATTTCCCGACCAAATTCAGACGACAGGAGGAAGCAAGCTGATTACATTCAACTTCCGTAAAAAAGATGACTCACTTATTCTTTCTATCAGGTTTTTTCATGTCCTCCGCTAACTTAAACAAAGAAGGGAAAAAAACACGATTTAGGAGTACCTAAGACGTGGATACCCGCAAGGGCATCAACATACGATTTGTCTGATGCCATTACCAAAAGAGAAAGGCGCGGCGAAAGGACAGCAAAATTGCAGTGGAGTGGACGAAAGAGCCCCATCCAAGTCGAAACAGAGGGTGGAAAAACTGTGCTTCGAGCCCAAGGAAATCACGGGACGACGAGATACGAGCAGCTACCTACCTCGTAAAATCGCTGCGACAAACAAAAACCCCATGAAGAAGCCAGTGGAAGACGAAACAATAGGAGAAGTCAGATGTGCGAACAGTTTGTTTTCGAGCACGACAAAGCCAAAAAAGTGAAAAAAATGAAGGAATTAGCACAGGGTTTCTCCATCGGACGAAACCCTAGTAGAGCCGCCCGCCGACGCCGACGCCATATGCAGATATATATAAAAATATTAAAGTGTTGATGGGAATTGACTTTTTCATTTTTTGGCAACAAAGAAACTGTAATGTTAAATTTAGAAAGGAGTTACAAGACAAAATAGGGAGCGGGAGACCGGGTGGGGTGGGGTTCCTAACATTGGTAAGTGGAAACCTATCTCCCTTGATCTAAAAAGAGAGAAAAGGTTTAGCATCCAAAAATGTCAGCTAAGACTTGATCCCCTCTTTAGCCAGCCAGCCAGTCAGCTGGTCTTTTACCTTCTCTAGGGATGAAAGATCACATGACATTAAGATCGCTGGAAATGTGAGCAATTTTATTCAACAGGATATTGAGCTGCCAGTGGGGAGAATGCATGGTAGTGCAAGCCTTCTAAAGAATCTGAGAGTCCATCTTAACCACAATCCTCCTCCAATTACAACAAGTGGCAATCCTGAGTGCAACAAGGACTGCTTCAGCTTCAACCTGTATAGGGGAAAGGACATCAGTGGGGTCAGAAAATATTATTAATGCATAACCCAAGTGGTTTCTGAACAGTCCTCCAATACCAGAAGCCAATGGAGTGAAGCCACCATCAACATTAGCTTTAATCCAGCCAACCTGAGACTGATTCCAACTGTGCAGCTTATTGAGGTTGGGTTAGATCAGTCTCATTACAGAAAGACATAGAGTGCAGAAATCTGGCCTTGACCTTACCAAATTTAATAAACTTGAAGGGATGGGCCAGGGCAAGGCAAAAAGTGGCTCTAGGGAGCACCCAAATATCAACGTGCTTTGTATTGTTCCTAGCCATTGAAATATACCATGAGACAATTTTAGGAAGAGCTCAAGGACAGGATTTGTGAGCAAGTTCCAGTCAGATGTCCACTCCTGGAAAGGAGTGCAGTCACCGCCACGTAAAGATATGTGCAAACAATCAACAAACAGGGACCAGATCTCTTTAGCATACCTGCAAATCAAAAAGAGGTGAGAAAGAGTCTCCTCCTGACAGCTGCACAGTAGGCAGATGGAGGGAAGCCCAAGGCCCTTCGTGTTTCAGGATATCATTAGTGGGAAGAAGAGAGTGCAAAGTTCTCCAAGTGAAAAATGAGATAGAAGGCTTGATTAAAGAGTTCCAGAACCATTTGAAATGTTGAGGGAAGATTTGTTGATTGCAGTTCTGATGAAGGCTAAGAGAATTGGTTTTATACATGGTAGCTCCTGATGTACCTTTAAAGATTAATGAATTCTTTTTGTTAAGCTGAATGGGTATGCTGCAGCTGTACCTTGTATCCTCCCAGTTCGATAAGGCATTCAATTGTTGTGAATCCCAATTACCATCAGTCCAACAATCAGCAACAACAATATCAATTTCCTTAAGACCACCATGAAAACCAGCCAAAGGGCCCAATGAAGACCCGTCATCATACCTGAAGCTAAGCTTGGCATTACCCAACTCCCAAGTGATAAATTCCTCAGCAGCAGCCCAAAAATGGATCATTTCTTTCCAAATGGTTGAATTTGTAACCCGGGCTGTACAAGCAAGAGAATGAAGTCTAGCGCAGTATTTGGTATTCGTGAGGGAGGCCCATAGTGAATTTTTTTGCACGCAATTTAATCCAAAGTTTAATAAGGTTGATCTTCATAGAGTCTCGCAGAGATCTGAACTCCAGACTGCAAGAAAGGGTAGGTTTGCAGAGCTTCTTCTAGCTAACCAAATGCATTCTGGAATCCTTAGTTTCCCAATGAATCTTGTTAAACAATTTCTCCAATCTCTGGATAATGGAAACAGGCAGTTTGGATATTTGCATACCATAAAGTTGGATGGCCGTAAGAATACTCTTTAATAGGATGGTTTTGCCACCATAGGGCCGGAAACTGTTCTTCCGTGATTGAAGTCCCCATGATTGAAGTCGGGTAGTGATTTGCTGTAGGAGTCCTCCAAACAAGCATAATTTTTTCCTCCCTTTGGTGATTTGCACACCAAGGTAAGAGATTGGCAAGGAACCATGCATAAACTGTGTATAATTCTCCAGCAATTTCTTCCTAGCAGTAGAAATAGATTTACTAGTAATCATGTTACATTTTTTCTTGTTAACTTCATACTAGAAACTTATTCAAAATGTGAGAAAATATCTCAAAAGCATTTTGGTAGCTGCCTTACTTTGCTTATAAAATACAATAATTATCATCAGCATAAGACAAGTGAGTTATTATGGGTAGGGATGTAAACCAGCCTAGCTTGAGCGAGCCCAGACTCAGTTCATGTTCAACTTATTAAAAAATATCGTTGTTCGTGTTCGACTCGTTTATATATATAGTTCAAATAATTTGTTAGTTTTCGACTCGTTTGTTCAGCGAGCCGAACTCGAGCAGTTCACGAATAACGAGCCATTTTGATAACCCTAGTCATGCAGCTGTAGGATGTTACAAGTAAGGGCGAGATTTAAATTTTATTATTTCTATGAAATATTCTTTTAAATAGAATTTAATATATATATGTATTTATTTATTTATTTATTCTATTTTGTAATTAATAATTTTAATTGATTATAAATCTTTGTAGCCTTGTACTCATTTAAAATATTTAAAAAGAATACTCATCAATTATATATATATATATATATATATTAATTATTTCAAGCCAAAACGAGCCGAACACGAACAAACAAAATTTTGTTTCTGTTCAACTCGGTTATATATCGAGCACAAAAAAAATTGTTCATGTTCGACTAATTTACTTTGCAAATGAATCGAACACAAGTTACTTAATGAGCTAAACACGAGCTGTTCACGAAAAAGTAGCTGTTTTGACATCCCTAATCATGGAATAGCCTTTGCTAGCAAAGAAAGAACTTGGTTTAGTAGAAAACCAGTGTTGAAGGCATCTAGAAAGGTAATCAAAAGCTATAATGAAAAGTTAAGGAGACATAGGATCTCCTTGTTTAATGCCTCTAATAGATTTGAAATAACCATGCTGCTTGTTGTTTTTCCTAAGTTAATGAGCTTTTGCTTGTAATTCTTTTTGTATTTTAACTATAATTTTATCATTTTTGTTGTGGTTTGGGTTAACTCCAATATCAATTGGTATCAGAGCTAGCCTAATTCAAGTCCTACCCTAAGGTTTCCTAGCATCCGTCCCTGCCCAAGCCACCTCCACCCAATTTTTTTTTTCATATTCCCAATCATAGACAAATTTTGACCTAACCCTAATTTTGGCTTGGTGATTTTTCAAAACAGCAACTATAAATTACTTTTCCTGCACCTTCAATTAGTCTCATACACACCCTCTTTCACCTATCAACCCTAATTCCTACCCATGCCACCAGGGAGAAATGTGCTATGCCCGAGCCTACTTGGGAGGAGATACAACTAGAGATCCATCGACTTCAACGGAAACTTACGGATATGGAGGATGAAATCTAGGGTGAAGTCACTCTCGATCGTGACATGGAAAGTTGAAGGGGCAAAAGAGATGAGAATTTCAACCCATTCCATAGGGAGGATTTTGGTGATGAAGAAAGGCCACAACTCTTTGGAATCCAATATCAGAGGAGACTGAGAGAGAGGAGGCCACATATTGAGGACATAGAGCTTTCAGAGTAAAGGTGCATCTCCCATAGTTCA